CTGTATGCTCTCAGATCTGCCGCTGAGACCCAAACACAGGTGCTCATCCATGAACGTGTATCAACTCCAGCCGATGGGGAGCAGGCACGTGTGCGCATGTGCACACACACACACACACACACACACTCACTCACACTCACTCTCACGTTCTATTTATGGTTCCCCCCCCAGCTCAGGAACCCTGGTGTCCAAGCTTAGAGTTTTTCCAGCTGCTAAACTCAGTGCAATAACAAGTCCTTGCCTGACCCCTCCAGGGCCCAGAAACTGCCCACAGTCCCACAGGCCCCTCTGTCCTCAGCACCCCCACGGCTCCCCGTGCCCTTTCCCTCGGTGCCTGGCGTTGCACAAAAGGAAAGCCGGTGCCGAGCGAAAAGATTTCATTTCCAAGTCTCCAAGGCCCGGTGCCTGCCCCCCGCCCCCCAGTCATGGCTCTTCACCTTCCCCTTGGCATGCCCCGGCTGCACTGTATCATGGAGGGTGGACGGGGCAGGGGACGGGCAGGCAGCTCTCACCAGCCTCTGGGAAAGTCCTCCAAGCCCATGGCCTGGGCAATGCTGCCAGGAGCCGCAGGGGGGGGGGGTGCTGGCCTGGGGCCTGGGGACATCGCTGCCCTCCCCACACCCTCCCCAGCTGTCCTGGAGCTCAGGGCGCTGCAGTGGTGTCCGGAGCTGCCTGTGGCTCAGGAGCAGTTGCTCCCCGCCCCTCTTCAACCTCAAACCGGACCTCCATCCTCTCAGGCTGGGGCTCCCAGGGAAACGAAGATTTGCAAGAGCAGGAGCAGGGGAGGAGGGAGGACCAACAGTTGCCAGATACCCCTTCGCCGGGAGGCCCGGGGATGTGTGTGTGTGTGTGTGGGGGGGCGCTGTGCCAAATATGGACAGAGATGCGATGCGGACAGACGCGCTGGAGGGAGAGCTGGAGGGCTGGGGCTGGTCACGGGTGGGGTGCCGAAGGGGCGCGCTCCTGGGCATGTGAGCAGTGGGTCTGTGCATCAGAGCAGTGGTCTGTGCGTGTGAATAGTGGGTCTGTGCGTGCCTTTGCAGCCAGGGCGCTGTGAGCCCCAAGTTCAAGCCACCCAGCCGGCCAGCTTCTCTCTGTCCCTCCCTCCACAGCCCATCCCACCTCACACTTCCCCTCCACTCTCAGCCTCCAGAGAGCCCTTCTCTCTCCCACAGAGCCACCCTGCTCCCTGGGAATACTCACCCCGCGGCCCATCTTGGGGCAGAGTGGCTGAGGGGTCTAGGCTGGAGAGGTTGGCAGGAGACTTCCCAGGCCACTCCGCAGTCTGGGGACGGCCAGAGACCCGGCAGCCAGACAGATGACCAGCAACAGGGTAGCTTTAAATAGGTCCCTCTCCCCCTCGCTCCCGCCTTCCCCTCCTCTGGAAAGAAACGTTTGTTGAAACAGGATCCCTGAGGACTCCTCCCCTCCCGCCCCTAAAGCAACTGGCAGTGGCTGTCAGGAGGTCCTACTGCGTGCTCCCCTCAGCCCCTCCCGTCGCCCCAGGAGGCAGTGCCGAGGAGCTGAGAGTGGGAATGCGCCCCTGGGGCCTGGCACAGGGGAGCAGTCCTCCCAGCTCCCAGGAAGCCCGAGGGCACAGGCTGCACCTTCCTTGTGATAAGGAAACTCAGGCACAAGGAGATTAAACACTGTAAACGGACAGAACCAGAAGCCAGGCCCCCGGAGCCTCCCTCCAACCCCCCAGGGAAACAGGCTGTTCTCCACTGTGGAGTCCCAGGGACTCTGCTGTCAGGGGAAGTAAATAGCGTTGGAACCCACGCTGGGCCCTGCCCTTGTCAGCGAAGCAGAAGGACCCGGTGAGAGCCAAAGGTGGCTCCTGGTATCGCCCGAGTCTGGAGAAGGCAGGGAGGGGTGTCCCTCCCCCGCCCCCCCCCAGCTGGAAGGGGTGGGAAGGAGTGTCTGTAATCTTATGCCAGCAAGCACGTGTGTGTGTGTGTGTGTGTGTGTGTGTGTGTGTGTGTGTCTCTCTCGAGGAGGTGACCCAGGGTGGGACCAGCTGATCTCAAGGTCTTGTTGCTGCTCTTTTGATGAACGAGACAGAGAATGAGGGGCAAAGGGAGGAAGGGAGAACAGAAGGGCAGAGAGAGAGACGAACCCACCCTGCCTCCTCCGGAAGTAGTCAGAGGAGGGACTGTCCGGGAGGGCCCCGATTTCCATGGACACACAGAGGAAGTGAAGGAAGGCCAGCGGACTGGGGGCAACTTTGAGCATCCTGAGCCCAAAGGAGGCTGGGAGGGAAGGAGGGCAGGGACGGGGCCTTTGGTCTGGAGGCCTCAGGAGCCACTGGCTGGGCTGCTCCGTCCTTGGCCCCAGGAAGCTCGGTGCAGAGGGATTACCCACCTGTCCTCCCGCAGATCCATCCGAGGGCACAGGGCTCAAGTCTGAATTCCCCCAGCAATGGGCCCTCCCACTAAGGGTCGGAAGGTCACACTGCTTTCACCGCCTCATTCACCTCCTGGCTGACAAGTGGGAGGTGGGTAGGAGGGGGCAGCCACCTTGGCTCTCTGGGCCCCTCCGCTGACCTTGAATGTGGGCCTGGGAGGGAACAGGCGGAAACAGGAACCTGGCCCAGTTCAGGCCCCTGAGTGCGGGAGAGAGGGGATGTGGCTGATGGTGCATCAAGAAGCTGTGGGTAGACATCAGAGAGGCTGCCTCCCTGTCACTGGGAGTCACTGGGAGTCACTGGCCGCAGCGGGAGGTCACTCACATGGGGCAGCTGAAGGGCAGCCTTGTCCCGGCTCAGGGTGGACAGAGGATGACTCGGGAGTCAGGAAGCGCCTGCTCCTTAGTCCTGGGCTGGGGTTCTGGGCTGCCTTCTGCCCAGCCCTCTGCAAGCACCAGGTGCGATGGATGAGAAATCAGCGCTGGGCTCTCCTGGTTTCTACGTCCCCTCCCTCAGCCTGCTGGTTCCTCCCAGAGCTGCCAGCCCCCCCAAGGCCCTGGCTCTGGGCCCTGTGGTCAGGCCCAGGACCGGAAAGGACTGTGCCCTTCCTGTGCCCATACAGCCTGGCAGGCTCTGTGCCTGCTCTGCACTGGGCCAGCGCACAACCCCAAGGGCACTGCTGCTCCCACACTGGGGCTAGATGACAGATGGCAGGACACGGGGCCTATTGCTCCCCCAGGTGCCCCTGAGCACCCTCCCTGCCCAGGTAAGTGTGGGGGCCCTGGGGGGACTTCCTGGGTCTTGACCGTGGGCCAGACTCCAGGACATCAATGGGTGCAGATGCCTGTCCCTCTGATCTGGGGAGCCTGGGTTGGGCTCCTGCTTCCTTTGAACAGTCAGCAGTGCCAGTTTGGATCGAGGCCCCTGGAACGAGGAATACAGCGGAGAGCAAAAAAGACTTGAAAGCAGGAGGTGGGGGAGGCAGGAGTCTGGTCTGGGGTGTGGGTTTGAAAGGCATAGGGCAGAGAGGGGACCGACAAAGGGCGGGATGGGGTCTTGAACCAAATGGGTGGGTGGCATGGGGAAATCTGGGAGGAGGGGTGTGTACATGTGTGTGTGTGTGTGTGTGTGTGTGTGTGTGTGTAGAGAAAGAGAGAGAGAGAGAGAGAGAGAGAGAGAGAGAAGGAGATGGCACACATCTGTACGTGTACCCAGGTGTGTGTTGGCTAATGACTGAGGCGGCATCCCTGTATGGGATGTGTGTGGGGAAGAGTCCTGTGAATGCACCAAATGGTAATTCCATTGAGCCTTTTTTTTTTTTTTAAATCCTCATCCGAAAATATTTTTCCGTTGCTTTTTAGAGAGAGTGGAAGAGAGAGGGAAAGACAGGGAGAAACATGCATGTGAGAGAAACACATCAATTGGTTGCCTCCTGCACGAGCCCGGACCAGTGTGGCTGGGGAGGAGCCGGCAAATGAGGTACATGCCCTTGACTGGAATCAAACCCGGGACCCTTAGTTCCAAAGGCCAATGCTCTCTCCACTGAGCCACACCGGCCAGGGCGCAAAGTGATAATTCCCGAGGAGCAGGTCCTCGGACAGGAGAGGCCACACATGTGTGTCCTCGGATGTGTGTCCGTCTGTTGACCCCCAGGTCTGTGTGTGCGGTGCGTGCCCGTGGCCAGGCAGGGGCGGGTGGAGGCAGGATGGAGCCCCGGTGGGTGTACGTGAGAGTCCATGGGAGAATGTGCCTGAGCCGAGGGAGGGGGCGCGGCTCAGCTGCAGATGGGCTCTCAAGGTCTCCAAGAAACAGTCTTGTTTCCTAAGTGACTGGCCTCCTGGGGCCTCCAGCCCAGACTTGAAGGTTGTTTCAAGATCATAAAAGAGAGAGGGAGGGAGAGAGGGAGGGCAGGAGCACTGGGAGCCTCTGTCACCCCCACTGTCCCTCCTCCCACCCCTCACCCCACTTCTTAGCCTCCGTCCTGATTTGGACCAAACTCCCCAGCCCTGCTCGCTCCCTTCCTCCTCCCTGCGCCAGCCCTCCCTGGCCAGCCTCTCCTTCCCCCTCCCCCTCCCATCTCTCCACCTCCCCTTTCTCTTCTTCTTCAGGGCCTGTGGTCTTGTCACGGTGGCCAGGCTCCTGGGGCCTTCTGGGGGTGTGGGCGGACGTTTTTCCTTCCATGGGGAGGCTGTCTTGGGTGATAGGATGGACAAGGCTGTTGAGCAGGCCTGGGGTGGCCATGCCAAGTGTCCAACAAAGGTGCCTCTGACACCCCCCGTCTCTCCGGCCCTCTCTCCTCCCACGTCCGAAGATTGCAGTGGCCTGGTGGTGGGAAGGCTGGGCTCAGGGCCGCCGGGTGGCGTTCGGGTCCCGTGGCTTCCTCAGTTTCCCCACTGGACCCCGGGACGGCGGGGGTTCTCCCCCTTGACTTGGCTCCTCTGCTTTCTTTCTGGTCTTCCTTTCCAATCTCCTCAAAATGGACTCTGAACCCTCTCCTCTGCCTCTTCTTGCTTCTGTCTGCTTACTCCTTCCCCGAATCGCCCTTATGATTTTCTATTTTCATATCACCTTAGAAAGGATCAAAAACGGAGAAGAGAGAAGCATTTCCCTCAGCTTCTCTGCCTCTGCTCCAATCCTACTTCTTATTTAAAATATTGTTTAAAGGTGAATTTTTAAAATTGATCTCAGAGAGAGGAAGGGAGGAAGGGAGAGGGAGAGAGAGGAAGAGAGAGAGGGGGAGAGAGAGAGGAGAGAGAAAGAGAGAGGGAGAGAGAGAAAGAGAGAGAGAGAGAGAGAGAGAGAGAGAGAGAGAGAGAGAGAGATTATTCTACTTACGTATCATTCATTGGTTGATTCTTGTATGTGGTCTGACAGGGGATTGAACCCACAACCTTGGTGAATCAGGATGACACTCCAGCCAACTGAGCTACTCGGCCAGGCCCGATCCTACTTCTCTTGTCCTCCTGTGGCTCTCTGGGCGGGTTAGCTCCATGTTCGTGTCCCACCTAGACATGCAGGTAGAAGTCTAAGGGCGAAGGAAAGGATGTTCAGGGGCCCGTGCCAACCCCCCTCCCTGACGTGATGGTCCAGGGCTGCTCTGGGCCCCTGCCTTCCCACCTGCACGCCCTGCGATCCCCCCACGCCCTACATGAAGGGCACACGCCTGTACGTGGGCCCTGGTGGGGCCATGAACCAGGTGTGCAGCTTTGGACAAGAGGCACCCTCACCCTGGCCTCCGTCTCTAAATGAGCAATGAGAGCAGAGTCAGAAACTCCTTGAGGGCCCTTTGTAGTTCCGATGAGTCCCAAATCCCAGCTACGTCCTCCCCGCGCATGTCTCAGCCAGGGGCACGGGAGCTTTCCTGCTGTCATCTTTATTCATCCTCTGAACCTGGGTTCCGAGGAGACCTGAGCGGGCAGGGACTCCTATTTTATTTATTGGTACAACCCACAGAGATGAGTCCGACCCCCTTGCTTCTTGGCACGGAAGCCAGGAGGGGCTCGGGCCCGGGCAGAGAGCACCTGCTTTCTCACGGAAGCCCTGGGACGGAGGACGGGGCTGCGATGGGGCTGAGGAATCTGGCGTTTTGTGGCTGCATTTGCTCGACAAATACAAGATGAGTCTGTTGCCAGAGAGTCTTTGGGCTGGAAAAGTATGTCAGGGGAGGTGGGGAGGCTGAGCTCATGGGCCCTGCTGAGAGGGGGCAGGGGTCATCGCTGGGCCCTCCAGGGCTCCCATGTGCCTTTGATTCCATCTGGGCAGGGAGGAAGTGTGCGGCCTCCTGAGGCAGGTTTGCTTTGGCCCGAGATCTGACCCAGCCACTGGCCCAGGGCACCCCGCCTCCCTGCTCCCCTGTCAGGAGGCAGCCTGGCTTGGCCCCCTGCCTCCTTCCTACTCCTTGTTTCCCTTCCCAGGGCCCCTCCACTTGA